GATATTTATTCAGACGATTCATCATTTTAACTATTCCATAAATAAGATTATTCAATTTAAAACATGTTGATTATAGGATTCACACATTGATTAATAGATTTGCACACATTGATTACATTTCGCATTTATCGTTCATACCGTTAGCACAGTATATGTATAACCAGTAGCGTCACTCAAGAAAAATAGCGTCGAAGAAATGCTACGGCGCATGCGTTGGATTACTATCCACAATATGGCGTACAGTGAGTTGTAAACACAGTAAGTGGTGGTTGTGTTTATCAAAATAAATATAGCCTATTAATAAATTCAAGTTAATTAAAGGACTCTGTTAAGTTTCAGGTCTGAAAATATTTTTAAAAAACATTGTTATAATAATGGAACGTCGCGTAGTTGTTGGTGGTTTCACGTGCACAATGCAAGATTGCAATGAAAATTCCGGCTCCAGTCATCACTTGAGCTTTTTCGCTTTCCATCTCATCCAGAAAGGTATTAATTGTTTGACAATATCCTATATACGTATATATAAAATTTAATTGTTTCTAAAATTACAATAACATTTATTCTAGAGCACAATTGCTACATATATATATATGTGTGTGTGCGTTAAAAATGCAGAAAATGTCTAATTTTTGTTTTTCTAAACATTATAATATTAAAAATATTAATAAAAAGTGTTTTATTTTATAATTAATATTGTTTTCTAGGTGACTGAATTCCTGTTCAATTATTCAACACATACCTATCCACAAAATGGAGCTTATCTTATAAGTATTCATACGTATTCATAATAACAAGACAGAAATCAATTTAAGTACATTAAACAGATAAACAATAATACACCTGATAATATAAAACAAATTAGTCTTTTATAATCAATTGTAAATTACATAGAATTGTTATATACATTTATATATTATCAATTTTTATATACATCTAAAATTTGAGATTTCGTATTTTTGAAGAGTATAACAAAAAATTGGAATCATTGATCACGAATTTATCGTAATTTTACACATTATATACATTTCAATTGTAAATAATCTAAATGTACATCAATATGTTTATAAATAAAATGGCAATAATAAATATGTTACTTGTTTAATATAAATAATTTATTAAATAATACACAAACATAATAAAAAATTATTTATTAAATAACACATAGGTATATTTTAATATTATTATTTGTTAAATTTCTTCTTTTTTTATGTTTATATGATTATTTGCGTTACTTTAATGTTACATATGTAATATGTATTTCAAGAAAATATACATTGTGGTTATTTATACAATAATTGTCTGCACAATTATAAAAATAATTGTTTATATATAGTTGCCTTTTTTCTCACAATTTAAATATAAGCGCGCTATTACTATCAAGAACATGGCGACATGTCACATGATTTCGGACACTGACATCAAAAGAACCGACACGAAGTGCCGCTACTGGTTATACATATACTGTGCCGTTAGGGTTGTAAGAGATGGCGACGACTAGTAATTTATAGGTATGCGCTTGTTGTGTTGGATTGGTCGCGTTGCTAGTCCCTAGACTCGTTACAACTAGAAGAATCCCTATGCCGGTATTACTAACGATAAATGATAAAAACGTCTAATTTTAATATATATATTATAAATTAAACTTCGGCTCGTATACAATTAAAATATGTGATACAATAAAAGGCCAACTTAACGTACAGTCGAAACGTTTATCTTTTGTAACATTATATTATGACGTAAAATAATAAAAAATTTTTTTAATTAATATCTTATAAGCTCGTTAAGTTGGCCTTTTATTGTATCACATAGTCTAATTCTAAGTTAAATCATTCTCAAAATAGTTAATTATATAAATTCTCGCAAGAAATGATGTTAGCGCGAAAAATTTAGGGTTTCGACCAATAGCAGGACGTCACAAGAAACACGGTTCTCGGTACCCCGTGGGTCGCACGAGCTGAGGTACTTTATTGCTATTGTGACGTCCCGTCTATTTTAAAATTTTATTTTTCAGTATAATTATTGCGCGCTATTCATATTCTCGTAGAAATAAGACTATTAACAATCATTATATTTTACTAATTGCTCTAATCCGACTATTTTAGTATTAATAGCTAAAATCGCCAGATCTGAGGTCCTCCATCTAGGAACCAAACATCTCTATCTAGTCCTAACCACGCGACCAATTAGGCACCATTTAGGGACCCCAGAGACAGCATGTAACTAGCGGAACTAACCAGATATTCCTTTACAGGAACACTTATCGATACACTTATTACAATAACGCCAAAACTATAAATAATAAGTATGATAAATATTAATATAATCAAGCACAATATATAAGGACTAAAAATGCTAACCCACTCCCTTCTAAAGTAAATTACAATACAACGCGATATATTATTAATTCCGAAACAACCTATTCTTTAGTCAGATTTACAGAATCCTAATCATATCAAATTTATATGATAACTAAAAGAGAAACACTAATTCTTTCAGAATTCATACCTAAAACGAAACACGATTCTGTAAGTACGACTAAGAATTACCCGAGTACACATTTGAATATGTAAACCTTGCAATATTGTATTAATGAATTATGGATCCATAAATAATTATAGACCTTTTTATTAACTATAAATATCAAATATTATAAATGAAGTATGCCATAATTAACTATAAATATCATATATTATAAATGAAGGATGCCATAATTGATTAATCAATATACGTAAAAAGACTAAACAAGGAGCAATAAGTGTACTACTAGACATAAGTATTCGTAGAGATCGACTTGGCGACACGATAGCTTGTAATTTGACCCCGTATGACCCCCCCTGCCGCATTCCTGAATTTTAGGAAAGAAGCCAATGCCCTACGCCGAATCAAAGACTTAGAAAGCGAAATATTACTCTTATCATTATAAGCTACAACTCAAACTATCAAAAGCTAGCCCTTGAATCCTTTACAGAATAACGTCGTACGTTCCTTTTTAACAATAAAATCTCTCAATTATTATCATAATGAATACTTAAGGAATTATAATCTCCACATTTTGTAATGGCTTCTAGGGCACGCAATTTAACCCTTTTAGTACAAATTATAATGATAAATATTAACGTTCTATAAATAAGCAATTCGGAAACTATTGTAAAAATTCCCATTCGTCTATTAAGAATCATAATTATACTGCGCCAACGAACCATCTTAGCTGATGGACCACCCTTCGCCCTCTCTTCGATGACGCAAACCGAATTCCTACGGAACCATAAACATGTCAAAATCTAAGCACGCCTGATCTTCCAAAGGGTATATAAACCGAGGATTTTGCGTCCTGCGAGCACTTTGTGTCAACTCCTAGGATAGAACATTTCGTATTACTATTTTCTAAATTCTAAATTCTACACTTAGCCGATTACGGTTAATCTAGTTTTCGTGTCAATTAGTACTTAGATTTTTCTGCGATTCTTATGTTAGTATAATTATTCTAGTTAACTCATCTGATAGTTTAAATTCGTAAACTCTAAATTGTACGATTATAAGTCACAGACTTAGAAATTGTTCATAAATAAAGGAATAAAGAACTAAAATTAATATAAAATCAGTGCACGTCTGTTCTTCCAACTCCATCCTGAGACTGAGGTACCCAGGAGGACGACAGCCCAGGCATAGTCACCAGGAACAACAGAGCAGATTTACATCTCCGTGCGGAATCAAATGAGAACTAATCTTTTTAACTCTCGATCCAATTTTATAATTTCCTAACAACTAATTAATTAATACTATAAGGATGAACATACCCTTGTAAATGGACAACCGGAAACGCAACCTTGTACGTATAAGAAAAAGCGTACGCGCCCTTCAATAATTAAGAGATATAGATCAATCGCGACTACTTTATCAAATTCTCAAGAGAGATTATCCAGAGATAAACAATTACCTGAGTCTCAAGAGGTAATCTCTCCTGACCTACTTCAAAGTTCCGGATCAATTGACAATTTCCAACATAAAATAGAACCTTTATCACCAATCCCCCTTGAGGAGATTGATAATATAATCAACGAATTAATAGAATCGTCTAAGAATTCCTATCAAGATTTTCCACCTTTCGAGGAATATAATTTTCCTGCAGTCTCCTTACCAGAATTAGTAAGCTCAGGACCGCTAGAAGCTCCCTCTGAAATTGACGACTATCCGACGTAATCCGTCTAAATCTTTAGTAATCTCAACTCGCGATTATTTACCGATTATTCTAAATGTTCAAATCCTTGATAATAGACTATTACTTTATTTTATTAATAATATATTTTAATTTCATATCTTATAGCCTAAATAGAAAATACGATTTTGAACTAATATTAATTTTCCTAGACGATATTATACATTCCTATAAAACATTCTCTATTCCTAAAATTCCCCAGATCCGAAAAGTCAGTTTCAGCTCTCGGCGCACCCAGGGTATAGTCGGTGCATGCAGATTGCCCTAAATAAATAGAGTTAACCCTTTCTTCCTAGACCTAGAGTAATAAAGGAGGAAAGAAGGTCACTCGGACGTGACACTATATAGTTTACGGGTGTTTTTCAGGGTACCTATTACGGTTATTTGGGTGAGTTTGCTCACGAGATGAAAATCACAAAAATGAGAGATTCACTAGATTTAGACCAATAGAAGCGTAGACAACCTAGTGAATCTCTCACTTTTGTGATTTTCACCTCGTGAGCAAACTCACCCAAAGAACCGTAATAAGTACCCAGGGGGTCAATTGTGTAATTTTTTCTAAAGTGAAAATGTGAAAAGTGAAAAATTTCTTCCAATCACACATTGATTTTCTTTTAAAATCAATGCGTGATTGGAAGAAATTTTTCACTTTTCACATTTTCACTTTAGAAAAAGTTACACAATCGACGCCCAGCAAGCAACACAGGCACAGTTTACTCTACTATTCCGTTAGCGCCACTGTACCAGTTAGGAAAACCATTTCACGAAAAACGGCAGGGTGGCCCCTCTCATTTTCGCTCTGACAATGGTATAAGAATGACAAATTGTCATTTGCTATTTAACTTTATTAACGAAGAGGTTATCATCAAGAAATCTGTCATTTTTTATTATATAATTAATAAGGTATTATTAGATTAATCTTAATTTTATAATATATATACACATATATATGTATATATATACATATATAATATACATATGTATAATATAAATCGAACATTTTTAGCAGAAAAAAATAAAGATTAGCAATTGCGCAACTGAATTGAAGTGACTCATCTCTAAGATGTTTTCAAGTGGGCCGAACTACACAAAGTTAAAGACACATTTACGTCTAGCGATTAACCGGCTAAAATTACTGGAGAAAAAGAAGACTGAGCTGGCGCAGAAGGCACGTCGCGAAATTGCTGATTATATTGCTGCCGGGAAAACGGAGCGCGCTAAAATCCGAGTGGAGCACATTATCCGCGAGGATTACATGGTGGAGGCAATGGAACTGCTCGAGATGTATTGCGATTTGCTGCTTGCACGTTTTGGTCTCATTCAGCAAATGAAGTAAGTTTCAACATTCAGTGGTTACTTTCCAGCAATGTATCCAAGCAATGCTATAGGCACTACTCTGTTCTTTTATTTAAGATAAATTGATCTCCATAAGATCTGACAATAAGAGCAACATTACAGTTGTTAAGGCGTAAAATTATAAGGAAACAAAACAGAAGTAATATTTCATCAAAATTTAATATTAAAGTAGATACATTGATGTAAATGGCGAACGTTTCAGTTCTTTTTTGAGTTTTCAGTGCAAGAATAAAGTATAAACAATAATTAATTAAAACGATAGTGAAATTAGTGAGAGACATGTTTAAGACATCAACGGAAGGTTGAAATCCACAATAGTATCACTTATCAAGGTGTCTTTTATTTAAGATTGTCTTAAGTGTGATCTGTAGATGCTACACAGTCATCTGCTTGATTGAATGGGATCTTAAGATTACTTAAGATCACATTTGAAAGCTATCCAGCAAAAACACAATGTTACACTATTGGCTATCGAATAGAACAATTTTCGAGACTTTAAAATTTCTGTTTGATATCTAATTACATTACATTGTGTCTATTTATAATTTCTTGTTTGAAAGCTCTCTATGTAACACAGTATACTTCTACACATCTAAAATGCTGTATTCAACTTTGTCATATCAACATTTTATATTTAGTATATTTTAGTATTTTTAACAGCATGAAATTCTGTTAGCAAATTTAAAAAAAAACTTAAAAACAATCTTTCTAATAATAGTATTATTAAAAGAAAAAGAAAAACTTAAAATACTTAAAACTTTGAAAAAGCTATATAAAGTTAATCTCTTTAATGGTGAAGTAAAAAGCTAAACTAATCTTTTCCAGTTACAAGTCAATACTATAACCTAATGTATTTTGAATAAAAATTATGAATACATTTTAATTTATTATTATTATTTTATTAATTTTAGAAATCTCGATGATGGTCTGGCAGAAGCAATATCCACTATTCTTTGGGCAGCACCCCGTATCCAAACAGATGTGCAAGAAATTAAAGTGATAGCAGACATCTTAACATCCAAATATGGCAGACAATATACAGAAGCGTGCCGAGAGGAAGCAATTCAGACAATATCAGAAAAATTGAAGCATAAGATGAGTGTGCAGTCGCCTTCAAAATTGCTCGTGGAAAAATATTTGATCGAAATTGCTAAAAATTACAACGTGGAGTATGAACCAGATCCACAAGTGATGGCAGAAGCCCAGGATGCAATGTTAATAGATATAGCTAATGGAGGAGAATCAAGAAACAATTTAGATACTGCTAGTGGAGGAATACCTCATCCACCTGGTTTTATAGGTTTTCCACAGCCACCTTTGTTACCTGTGGATCTTGGGTCTCACTCAAATGTAATAATTTAAATAATTAAAATATTTATCTCTTATATAAAATTATAAATGCATTATGCTAATTTTTATAAATAACGAAAGGACCCCGCACTAAACCACGTGAAATTGGGCCTTGGCGAAAATGACTGAATTTGAAATATGTTATTTCTTTTGGATCACTGAACAAATGTTTCCTCAGGCAAAATGTCAAAAAATGGACAGTTTCGTTGTTTCAACCCTTCAAAAGCCTGAGATCAGACCTACAAAGATATCACTTTCGGATCAATGCGGTTATCATTATAAGGGAACGATACGAATTTTTAGTAAACAAAATAATTAAAGAATAATTTGTTTATGACAGTATTGTTTAAACAATTTGAAAATGTCTTTGTTTATACGAACTGATTATTGCTGATTTAAATTCTGTGGGAAAATCATAATGCATAGCGTTTTTCGATATAACGCATTATTTGTTTTAAAATAAGCAGTAAACAAATGGTTGATAGTAAAATCTGCTGAGGCTCAATTTTACGTGGTTTAGTGTGGGGTCCTTTGAATTCATTAAATTATAATCTTTAATCCATTTTTAATTGTATAATACATCACTATATTAATATTATATCACATTATGTTTTAGGATTCAGAAAAGGTCCTTTATCTATGGGATTTGTGTCTCCAACATCCCCTTCAATGGAAAAGATCAGAATACGCCTTTCAATCCTGCTTCATATTCTTACAACATACCTTTGGATAATGCTAACTCAAATAAACCGGTGAGTAATATGCCTTATCAACAATTTTATAAATAATATTAAATTTATTATTATTGTTACTAGTAAATTAATATTGATAATAATACAATTTATTTATACAATTAAAATGAAATTACATCTCATTTGATGCTTGATAAGTTGGCCATTTTAAATTATTTGATTGTCTTAACAATTTATTTAATCATAATAAAATCAAAAAAATTATTCATTAGGAAGATTTACCACCACCATACCAATCTGATTTTCCACCTGATTTAAACAAACAGGTAAATATAGAATTTCTTTTCTAATTTCGTTACAGACTAATTAACTAGAATTATTAGAATAATGAATAATATTCATTTAAAGCAAAATTAGTATCTTGTTTTTCCATAAAAAAATCCATATACATTCTTTTTTTAGTCGGACGAAAAACCGAAACCTCAACCAAGATCTAAGATGCCAATGAACAACTATCAGCTCCCAGATCTACCGGCAGTACCAACAGAAAACAATGATCCGTCTGTAAATCCTTCCGAGAATGATGATATTGATTTCGATGATTTGATGAAGCGATTTGAAGATTTAAAGAAAAGGAAGTAACGCTTATTGTATATATGATATTCGAAAGATTTATTATTTTATCATTTTAAAACGATAATGATGTATTTAGTATGTCTTTTATAAAAAAAGGCCTATTATATAAGGTATATATGCTTTTGTGATAAAAAAAAGTGAAAATAATAATTATCTATATGAGAATTTAGCATTATTCCACAGTACATATATGCATGTATATAGGTACATGTTATAATATTTATGAGAACATAATAATATATTAATTTATTTTATATATCTTTGTACAGTCATTGTATGTATGTCCTATACTACTACTTCTTATAATTAATCATTACATGCAATACCTTTTCAAATTACATTTTTATGAATATAATTAATTTCTTTTATTTTTTCTTCTTTTTTGGAGTTTATTAATTAATGAAGGAGATCCCTCAGCAAATATATGATGAATACCGACAAAATAGCAGCACACATTCAAAACCAGTGTTGGGTACTATCTAGATACATGTATCTAGATATAGTATCTAGATACATTTTGTGTATCTGAGTCTGTATCTGAGATATATTCGAATTGAAGTATCTATATCTGTATCTAGATACAAAACATGGTATCTGAATTGCTTTTTTCAGATACATTTGCAGATATATTTTCACATATTTTTTTGAATACCCTAATTCTTTAAATTATTAAAAAATTGAAACTGCAAGTTATCAACATAACGTCATCAACACCGGTTGAATTATTATTAAGCATTAGTTAAATTTTTTAGTACCATGACGAAATAATTTGAGTGACGATATCTTTGAGGCATTTTTCACGTGTTAAGACTAACAAATAAAGTCGTAATATAAACAAAAATATTAATAAAGATAAAAGAATCATTCAATACATTTTGTGCATATTACCATTATTATGATAAAATATAGTTTAAAAGTATCTGATATGTATCTGTGAGATACTTTTAAAGTATCTGAGTATCTGTATCTATATACATTTTAATTTGTGTATCTATATCTGTGTCTAAATATATTTTTTTACACGTATCTGTATCTGTATCGAGATACATTTTAAATGTATCTTACCCATCACTGTCCAAACATATGCACTTATACACAACGCACGCACACATACGTATGAATTGTACTTCTAATTACAAATTTTTATTAGACTTCTAAATTTAGAGGATAACAGTGCTTTCTTTCGTGTCCTCTAATCCCAGGGAATGTGCATTTTTATTCGTACAAAGTGCATATGTTTTATATAAAGCACATATTTTGATGAGGTTGACAGTTCGTCTGCAATTCGAGATGTCAAATCGAGATGAAAATAAATAAGAAAAACTGTTATTTCTCGTTTTTTATATTAAATCGAATTTCCCTGGGATTATTGATGCATGTATTGCAATCGTAGAGAAGCATTTTTAATTATATCAAATTAAAAAAAGATATACTAGAAGTACGAAAATATATGACTGCGTCGATAAAACAGAAATCGTGACGGATCCCCTGAACCATTATTACAATATTGTATTGGTAGTATTAATTACGCCAATCTTCACAACTCTGAAAAAAATAATTTGATTAATTTTAATGTTAATTTTAAAGACTATTAGAATTTTTAAAATATTAGAATTTTAGAATCTTTGAACAATCTTTTTTCTTCATTTTTAAAAATAGAATTTCTTAAAATCTTAAATTTCTATTTACAAATTTGATAAGTGAGAATTATTACAAATCTTACGAAAATTTTAAATCGTCCGTCGTCCTGTTTTATCGATAAAACATCATTTCTGGTATTCTTCTTTTTATTGATTGAATAGAATAATAAATACTTTTCCACGATTAAAGTACATAACAAGAAACAAAGTGCAAACCTACCGATTTTATGTTAAAATAAAAAAAATTTTCAAATAAACAAATTAATTTTAAAAATTTTTAATTTTTAGTTTAAAATTTTGTTTGTTTTTAACATAAAATCAGTAGGTTCGCATTTTATTTCTATATATACTTTAATCGTGGCAAAGCATTTATTATTCTATTGAACCAATAAAACGAAGAGTGCACAAAAATGATGTTTTATGAATAAAACAGGACGGCGTTTAGGGTCCCCTTAAGAATTATAAGTATATATATTTTAAGATCCTTGAGATTTTCTTGTTTGAATTCATTAACAAGTTTAAATAAATCTTTTATTTAATAGACATACTTCCTTTCTTTTTTCGTTCAGACAAGTTAAAAGATTTTGTGAATAGTAACACTTGTCTTCTCTCATGTCTAAACCCAGATAATGAAAACATTCTATAACAGCTTCGACTACAAAGTCTTGTATCTCCGAATTATGTAAATTATGTGTTATAAGTTGAAGAATCGAATCCTGTTTAGGGAATCCTCTTTGGTCCACCTATTAAAATTAAGTTTTGAGAAAGCAAACCAACAGCTGCTATTACTGATTTTATGTATATACTTACTATATTTAATTCGTTGAAGAAACACTGGACGAGGCACTAGACATAATATAATTCGTATATTTTATTAATATTAAGTTTAACAGCCTCATATGTTTTGATCAAATTTTATGAAACAAGATCATCAAATTTTCGTTGTTTTCTGCTGTTATGATTAGGAATATAAATATTTTAGGTCACACATTTGATAAGTCGTGTGTTAGGTTAAAATTTTTGGTTTCTGATGTAATTAAAATACCTTAATATATATATATATATATATATATATATATTCACTTATGTCAAATTATTTACTATAATTATTATTAATTATTTTTATGGCAATAAGTTCAAAATTTAATGTAATTGTTTCATAGAAATTTTGGTTTTATTAAATTGATAAATATAATGAATTATAAAATATGTATTTGAAAGCAAAATATAATTGCAAATTATATAATATATAATATATACACTATGTATATCTTACGGCTTGCTCTTGTTCCTTATTATTTTCAGAATTGGTATTATAAGTTTGGTCATGCCAACTTGATTTGGTAATTCCATCGGAGTAATTAAAATCATGATTATTGCCGTTATGATTAGAATCATGTGCATTTTTCCTATTTTTATTTGTACGATTGAAAGAATAGCGTTGATCGTTACCATTTTTCTGATCATTCCACTGATTGCTTAATATGTTATATTATATTAGTGATGTTAATTATATTGACATTAATATCTATGTAAAACATTTTTATCGTTCTATTACAGATTTTCAATATGATATAACGTAAAGTCGCTAGTCCAGATAAAGACATCAGGAATATCTTCATTTCGATATTTATTGTTGAGACATTTTTAAGTTGGACACGTATTTGCCTTGTGTAGACAACATTCTTTTTATTTCCTGATTCTTTTAGTTGTTGTGACAAATCAACATGTTTTAATAGTTTGTCTAATTCATTATAATCAAAAACAATTTCTGACTCAAGCGATATTGTGTGAATTTGTAGTTGAAAAGTAAAACAATAACACACATTAACATCTCGCTGTGACTGCGAGAAATCATTATATCATTTTAAACGAATTATAGAGCAATATATAAAAAGTACCTTAATGATAATTATCATTAACAATAAGATAATTAATAATAATAATAATAATAATAATAAATAATTAATTATACTCTATTTTTTTTAATTACCGATTGTCATTTGAATTTTCCCAAGAATGAGTGTTGTAGAATTTGTTGCTGCCGATCAAGAAGAACTTCGTATCAAATGTATTTATATCCGAAGATTCATCATTATCGTCTTCTTCACTCAATGAGGACTCATCGTAATTATAATTATTATCATCCGTAATTCGTTTCTTGCAAACTTGCACGATTTTTTTGAATTGATTTGTCTGTTGGGCATCTGTTTTGCATTTTAACGACTGCAAAGCAAGATAGAAAAATGTGTTTTAAGCTCAGAGTGATTACACACAGTTCAATAAATGAAATCCAAGCAAGATGTGACTTTAAAAAGTTGTTTGAATTTTTTCAAATTGAAAAAAATTTTAACGTCAAATCTAAATTTTTGGAAAAGACTTAAAAAGATGAACACTTTTACATCTCGAATGATTTTTTAGTATTTTTCAAATATAATGGTACCGATTTTTTGAAATTGACTTTTTCCAAACTTTGATCCTAAATAACTTCTGAACGGATCGATCTTCGATTTACGCCAAAAACTTTTTTATGCCCTTTCAAATAATGTAATAAATACAGAGTGTTAAAAAATTAAAAGGAAGAAAGAAGTCTTCAAAATAAATATTTTTTATTAATACACTAATTTTGTCTACAACGTTTAGTTTTAATACTACATGATATCAGATACTTTAATGTATTTGTTTCGTTTAAGTTTAAAATATACAGTTATGTGCAAAATAATAGCACCGGTTGAAAAATGAGGGAAATTTGTATATTTCCTCCACCATGTTTAACTGTCTTGACTATGTAGCTATAGGATTAAATTCTGACTTTTGTGGTCGAACGAACTGACGAATACCAGGAAATCCTTTAATAATCACTTTTTGATGGCGAAGAAAATATACAAATTCCCCTCATTTTTTCAACCGGTGTTTATTTTGCACATAACTATATGTAATTTAATTTTTTGACTTTTATGTTTGTTCATAGTTTAAATCACAATTCTTATTTCATAGTATCTATATAGTAAAAAACATAGAAAAAATAGTATTAAATAGTATAAAAATGTTTATTTTCAAATCTTCTATTTTACTTCAAAATTTGTTGGTCTAATTTTTTTACACTTTTTGTATACAGGAAACTTTACTTGAAATTTTTAGACATAAATTGTCAAACTTTCAGAGCATATTTTACTTACATAAGAATATTTTAAATTTTTAGGTAAAATTCTAGATAAAGTTTTAGATAAAAAAGTGTTTATAACATGGAAAGGAAGTGTTTATCTAAACCTATGTTTATATGACTTCCTTTTTATATAGTATATAGATGGTGAGTAGGATAATCTTTAAAGTTTAGCAATCTATTTCTGAAACACCCTGTATATATACATATATAATATGTATGTATATGTGTACAAAACTTTTTTCAGAAATCCATTTTTTATTTAAAAAACATTATTAATTCCGTAATTTCGTTATTTTTTAATTTATCAATTTTGATATCGAATTTATATTTGTTCAGCAAAACAACCTGAAAAATCCTGTTGAAATCCTTTTGAAGAGTAATTTGCGAAAAAACAGATTACAGGCGTAGTATTTTAATAAATTAATTTGAAACAATCATAAAGCATACTAAAATGTCAATAAACAAAGCTATGCATCAAATTAAAATTGATTCGATTAACAAGTTCTTTAGAAAAATTTGGAAAATCCCCTATGTTTTAAGAGCTGCAAGGGAAAATGTAGCCTTAAGTTTAAATAAATAAATATTTAAACACTAAAAAGTATATCAAGGCGCAGTAATATTAAATAATAACTACAAATAAGAAAGGCCTAAGAGCTATACGCGGATGTTTCTTGCGTACATTTCCAACGTATTGCGTACATTTCTAACTAAATTAATTTTTAGCATTTATTTCTTTATTTCTTTAGACGGGTATAGGGGTTTATGAAATTAAATCTCAAGTATGAGATATTTTACATTATAAAGTTTTGGTAGTACACCAAGAATAATATGTGCCTGTGTGCACATTCCGTTTATTTCCAACGAAAAATTAATTTTCGTTGGAAATGTACGCAAAGAACATCTGCGTATGGCTCTTAGGCTTTTCTAATTTGTAGTTATTAAATATTTAAAATTAAAAGCTATATTTCAAGAATATTTTAATCAGTTCTCGAAATAAATACATAATATATGTATATATATATATATATATATATATATATTCAATAGAGCTAAACGCGATGTTATTGTGAAAATTAAGAAACTTAGGAATTCGTATCTTATAGTTGAGATCTCAAAATTCCCCTTGTTCTTCTTTTAACCCCCTCTGTAAAGAAATAGGCGAGAAAAATATTGGTCCGAAAGTCGGCTAAATCGGAAAGACGAATTGAAATTATAATAGAATTTCAAGAATACTTATGTATTGTACATAATAAAAATTTGGCGAATCAAAATTTAAAATATAATGGAAATTCAAGAATTAAAATTAGGTACACAATGAAAATTCAAAAATAAAATTATGTACATAATAGAAATTCAGCCAATTAAAATTATTTATATAAAACAAATATGACAAATTAAAATTATATATATAATAGAAATTGGGCAAATTAAAATTATTTACATAAAAGAAATATGGTAAATTAAAATTATGTACATAATAGAAATTTGGGAATTAAAATTATGTATATAATAAACATTCGGAAATTAAAATTATGTACATAATAAAAATTCGACAAATTAAAATTATGAACATAATAGAAATTCACGAATAAAAATTGTGTACATAATAGAAATTCGGTGAATTAAAATTATGTACATTACGGAAATTCGGCAAATTAAAATTATGTATACATAATAAAATTTAGGCGAATTAAAATTATGTATTAAGAATTTAACTAGGCTCTGTAATATAAATATAAATATAAATTATGAGTGTCAAACAGGCAATAAGAGCCAAATCGCGGATGACAGTGCGTTATCCCAACAAAACTAAATTTTTCGTTAGGATTAAAAACCTGTGCACAAGGCACTAAATTTTACTTGGACACGGCCAAGATTTAAAATTGGAATAATCTCTACAAGAGATTTAATTCCATACATCCCCTGTTCCCCCCTTAAGGAAATAAATGCGAGAGAAAAATATAGATCCGAAAGTCGCTGAATCGGGAATCGAACCCGAGACCTTTCGCTTGCCGGGCGACTGCTCTTCCAACTGAGCTATTCAGATCCCTTCGATTCTATACTTTTCTCTGCTATATATATAATAATGTTGATAAACAAACGCCTTTAAGCCAGCGTGTACAAATTAAAAATTTAACAATTTTATTTTATTATTATTATACAATCAATCAAAGGCTACAGAGAGCCAGTGCAGAAGATGAGGCATAAATAAAACAAATAAATACAGAAAAACGTTAAGTTATTGTTAATTAATCAAACGTTTCGAGTGACTTTTAGCTCATCTTCAGCGTAATGTTAATAAATTAATAAACGCAAATATTTTATGTTATTGTAAGATTTTATATTGCACGCACAATATAATTCACTTACGATCGCTGATTTCACCAGAAAAAAACAAACGCTGCACAGAACAATAAGAATCACCTTTACCATTTTGTTATGCGGACTCTATTTTTCTAAATAAAGTTTATCTGTCAAAACTACAAATGCTTATATAGTATCCACTACAAATGCTTATGTCATCAGCAAACTAAAAGTTGACAGATATGGAAACAAATTATAGCAAAACAAAAAATAATATTGTTCCATATGTCTCCGGACGGAGACTCGCTTGACTGCTCTTTTTATGCAACTTTTTTAATTGTCGATCGGATTTCCGTTTCGGATCATTGTTAAGAGTGAGTCTTTTGTGAAAGAAGACCATTGAAGTGATGAGAAAAGAAAAACAATCCAATCACGCAGGAGAAAGTGAGAGCGCTCGTGAAATACGTCACACGATGAGTTTAAATGCGTTCGAGCGATCAGTTTTCTAGAAATTGTACACCGAAAACGATATAATGTACATCAAATGCTTTGTAAGTATCTTTGTTGTATCTTTTATTACTATAAGTATATTTGCATAAAAATACCAATTTTTTTAGAAAATAATTTGATGTGTTCTTCTTTTGATAAATACTCTATCATATATATATATATACACATATATATATACTCGTATACAGGGTATACGAAAAGTCCCAGATTCTTCTTAATTATTTTGAACATATGCATTCTGAAATATTGTATATTCGTGTAGTTTACCTTGACAGTTTTTCGAAACACTAGTGAAGTATTTTTTCATTAAATTATTTTTAAATTATTAGAATTGACTTGAAATTGACAGTATTTTGACATAAAATGCAAAAATATCTTGTGAAACATTCAGTTTTCGGTTTTCAATCTTATCTTAATACTTTTATGCACAGAATAATGAGATAAAATACATTGGTGTAAAAAATACATAGAGTTGATTTTAAAAAAATATAATAAGATACAAATTACTTCCAAAAACTGGCTAATTTCTTTATTAAAAGTAAATGAACACTACGTTTCGACCAACATTGTGGTTCTTATCAAGTGTTCTTATTCCGCATTTACATTAATCAAAAATGGAAACGTGAAAATTTACCTGTCATGTTAACAATCTGTTAGCTTAAAAAATATATGTTGTAAATTACATCCACAAGCTATATTTTGTCTTTTGTGTCAAATTACTGTAAATTTTTAAATATATTATTTCAAACATGGCGATTTCAAACATTATAATTTGAAAGGTACTAAATAAAAAAATATTTTATTATAGTATTTTGAAAAGATAAGCTCAAGATAAGCTACACAAATATGCAATAAAAAATAGGGGTTTTTATTTAAGAAATTGAAGATGACCTTTACGTGATCTTGACACCACTCTTCAAGGTCATAATAATATTGATATGTAATGCGCCATTAAAAATTCTACAAGTTTCGTATAAAACATTTTGTTCAATAATTAAGGGATCCGGAACTTTTTGTACACCCTGTATACGTATACAGCATACAGGATGATTCAAAAGTCCGGCAACAGCCAATTACCTCCAAAAATAGTGGTCTTATGAAAAAATGTTAAATACAAAATAAATAGACAAATCTTAACGACCTAATTGGGATAAAAGTATCTTAATTGTTACTAAGACATATTATTAAATCAAGACAACGTTTCGACTCTTGTTTTGGGTCCTTCAATCAAGTCTACAAAAAATATATACACTATTTAAGAATTATTTAATCATGGAACATCAATTTTAATAAAATAGTCATTAAAACATAAGCATAAACACAATTTAAGGGGATGCTGGAGTGACGATCGAACTCCGACGGATGGTTTGAGAAGTCTTTTGTTTTTTCCTTTTTTATCGACAAAATATAAAGTTAGATAAACTATAAATCTATTTATTGGCTATACGGATTATTTTTTACCTGAAATTAAAATGCTTCGCACTTTGTTAATATTAATACTTTAATTTATATACAGGAAAAAGATTTATCAATCTGTATAGTTTCATATTTCTTGATTACAGAATTATGAATTCTTATTCTGTCATCTTAGAATTATGAATTCTTATTCTATAATCAAGAAATATGAAACTATACAGATTGATAAATCTTTTTCCTGCACAAATTAAAGAATTAATACTAATAAAGTGCGGAGCGTTCTAATTTCAGGTAAAAAACAATCCGTATAGCCAATAAATAAATTTATAGTTTATTTAATCTCATATTTTGTCGATAAAAAAGGAAAAAACCAAAGAATTCTTAAATCATCCGTCGGAGTTCGGTCGTCACTCCAGCATCCCCTTAAGATTAACAATACATTAATAGTTTAATAATTTAAACATACCTGATATAAAAATTAAATTTAACTATTTAGAAATACACATAACAAACGCAAGTATAATACCATGTGTCAGCATAACCTTTTAACTAGATGGTAAAATAATAACTAAACTAAATAGCCTTTATCACTCTATTATAAATAGGATTCAAACTCTCAGTGTCTCTTTGTAGGTTAATTGTGTATTATTAAATTTTTTAATATAAAACATTTCCGCAATCTCTCTTTTCTTCATATGTTTTTTTGGATGTAGAATATTAAAGGCTATTCAATTAAAATTGTGTAAATAATCGTTTCTATGTTTGCTAATAACGCTCTGATTACTCGTATGTAATTTTATGTTGTTCATGTGTTCTTTTATCCGAGTATTTAACTGTCTTTTAGTTTGCCCGATGTATGTAGCCTCACATCTCTACAGTCAATCTTATAAACCACTTCCGTTTTATCTGCTTTAGGCAGTTTGTTTTTCCCTCGTTTAACAAAGTCTAATTTTTTAGGTATTGTGTAAATAACATTTAACCCTATTTTTTTAAAAGAACTAACAATTTTATCACTTAAATTTTTTATGTATGTCATTGAAATACAAGACGATAAATCAAAATCTTTATGTATGTTAACGTCATTACGTGTGTGATTTTTTCAAAAAACATATTTTTTTACACAAACCGTTCAATAACCATCGCCAGAAAACTATTGTTAGATAAAATATTTTTAACAATTTTTAGATTTTTTGAATGAAAACGTTCATCCGATAACAAAATAGCATGATCAACTAAATTATTAATGATGTTCAATTTATATTTAAAATGGGTAATTAGAGAAATAATTTAAATATCTCTCGGATGATGTGGGTTTCTGGTACCAATTTGTTAACAATTTACCATTAATTTTAATCACCGATGTATTAAGAAAGTTGATCGTACCTTTTGTTTCAATTTCGTGCGTAAATTGAAGGCGGTCATGATCAAGAAAAACATACGAAGAAAAGAGAGATTGTGGAAATGTTTTATATTAACAAATTTAATAACACGATTAACCTACAAAAAGATAATGAGAGTTTGAATCCTATTTATGATAGAGTGATAAAGGTTGTTTAGTTTAGTTATTGTTTTACCATCTAGTTGAAAGGTTGTGTTGACACATGATATTCTACTTACGTTTATGTGTATTTCTAAATAGTTAAATTTAATTTTTATATCAGGTATGTTTAAATTATTAAATTAATGTATTGTTAATTTTAAATTGTGTTTATGCTTATGTCTTAATGACTATTTTATTAAAATTGATTTTCTATGATTAAATAATTTTTAAATAGTGTATATATTTTTTGTAGACTTGATAAGGACCCAAAACATGGGTCGAAACGTTGTCTTAATTTAATAATATGTCTTAGTAACAATAAAAATACTTTTATGCCAGTTGAGTCGTTAAGATTTGTCTATTCATTTATTATTCACTGGCGAGACAAAGATTTATTGATTATATTAAATACAAAATTAAAAATAAATGTGAGACGACCCAACTGGCTTAAATTAATTCTTATTATTATTAGTTTGATGCCATGTACAAGAAAAGACAACGTTTCGACCTTAGGTTTAGGTCCTTATCAAGTCTAAAATTAACATTAAAAATACAATAGATGTACATACAAGAATTTTGATTTTTAAGAAAGTAAAGCGCAAACCAAGATTATAATAACAATTTAAACGTACCTTACAAATTCTTAAGTGCAATATATAATTAATTTTGTTCCATTTTACATATTTCAATATAAATATTGTGTCACGTAAACGTTCGGTATGGATGGTAAAGACGAACTAAGTTAAACAGCTTTGATTATTCTATCATAGATCGGATTCAAATTCTCTGTGTCTTTCTGTAGGTTGATCGTGTTATTAAATTTTTTTATAAAAAACATTTCAGCAATCTCTCTTTTCCTAGTGTTTGTTTCTCGATGTAAAATATTTAAGTTTGTCCATTTAAATTCACAAAGTTAACGCGCCTTTACGTATAATTGTTTCGTCACTTGGGAGCCCGGTGTACAGTATAGCACGTTTTTTACATGATATATTGGAACGATCAATTACGAAACCTATCTCACATATTAAAGACGGTTGGACGTTCGCGAATAAAATCAAGAATTTGAGTATTGAAGATAATGAAATGTTAATTTCTCTTGACGTCACTTCTTTATTCACAAACATTCCTAAGGAATTAGTTTTAAAAGCTATTGAAAAACGTTGGAAGGATATTTCATGTAACACAAATTTTAGTTTGACACAATTTTTATATGGAATTGACGCTGTATTAGAATCTACTAGTTTTCGTTTCAACGATCAATTTTATGAACAGATACATGGTACGCCAATGGGATCCCCCCTTTCACCTATTTTAGCAGACTTAGTTATGGCTGATCTTGAGACAGAATGTTTAAGCTCTTTACAATTTGACATTTCAGTTTATTATAGGTACGTTGATGATATTTTTGCAATAGTACCACGCAATAAAATGGATAACATTTTGACTACGTTTAATAAATACCATCACCGTTTGCAATTTACACATGAAACAGAGATAAATAACAAGATTAACTTTCTGGATACATTGGTTTTTAGAAACAATGGTAAACTATTGACTAGTTGGTATCAGAAACCCACCTTCTCTGGTAGATATTTAAACTACCATTCTAACCATCCGTTTAAATACAAAGTTAACACGATTAATAACTTAGTCGACCACGCTATTTTGT